CAATGGTGATGAGCAAATCCCAACACTGATGAGATAAATATTCAGATGAATTCAAATGAATATATATTAATTTATATATATACATATACATATATATATATGAACACTGAGTGTTATCACAGATGAATATTCAGATAAATATATCACCCACAAAATATGAACACGGAGTATTCTTTTGGGGGATGATTGATATCAGATGAAGATTTAGAAGATAGCCATGCCAGATGGATAACTACGAGCTTATATTGAGCTATCATCAATTTTATGTGGGTTACTGTAATTAGTATGAGTATAATGCGATAGTCTAATCCAAATACTGACTTGGGACAATATGGGGCTACCATGCGGGATGATATGGGATTAACCCGTTTCCCCTCATGAATGAATGGGTGTTTCCCGAACTTGAGCGCATGTCGATGGAGCTAGAGAGAGAGCAACTTACTATAGACTTCAAGATGTCTTGGCCAACGTCATGCAGCCAACACATTTACGCCATTTATATCCATTTATGCCATCAACTTCACATGCCGATATACATCGATATACCAAAATGACCAATCAAGTCATGACATCCCCATGGATAAATTGGATCACGACCTCGTGACGTCAAGGAATGATGGGGAGGGTTGGTATCCCCTGAGTGTGGGCCTCTTAATTCATCTTGGTCATCTTAGTTCTGGGTGGTGAACCATTCCATACTATACTACAAAATTTACACAATTTGTCCGGATTATAAAACAGAAACCATCCATAACCATCCGTTTTTTGCGATTTTTTCGTGATCATAAAAACACCAAAGAGCCAACAGCGGGCCAAGGTTACGCTGCCATGGGCATGCAAGGAGCAGGAAAGATTGAGGTGGGTTGCGTCCGCCCCCCAGCAGGGGTCAGGCCATAGGACCATGGACTTTCCATGGAAGATAAGGTGTTTCCATGACATAACCCCATATTCCCAGTCCTTTGGTTGTGATATGCCTGTTAAATATATGTTAAATCCGATGAGAGAGATCCATCAATCCTTGAAATATTCCACATCAAACCACATCAAGTTCTCCCACCGCCCAAGCTCGGGATTTACCATCCAGTAATCATACGCGGCAAGGAGGGAAAAGTCGATCAAATCACCAATGAATTCAATCAATGGAGGTTTATAAAGTTTATAGCTAGGAAAATCCATGAAGATCCGCTAGAAATGGTGGATTTTCAAGGAAACCATGTTTGATTCACAAGGTGGCGGATGTGACCCTGTGGGATCTCACAGCCATGTCGGATCTCCCAGGGGAATGGCTTGGGAATGGTCGAGAATCACCATAGAATGTCATAAAATCTGGGGAAATCATGGATTTCATGGGGATTTTCAAGAATGTTTGGACGGATTTTGATGGACTCCTTTGGGTTATTGAAATAGATGGAATCGATCTTATCATGTTTTGGTGATCCTTTAGTTTTATCGTAACTGGTTTCATGGATTTTCATGGAACGTCTCAGAGAAATCACGGAAGAACCAAATGCACTTAGAATCTTGTAATCTATCCAGTTTGACAATGTTAATGGAAAATCATGGAAGATCCACGCGAAATCCCCCAGAAGTAAACATTGCATTTGAAAATCGCGGAAGATCCACAAGAATATACCCATCGAATCCATTCAAATCCGAACAACAATCCATCAAACTGTTGGAATTCAAATCCATTCAGAATACAACCCGCTCCATGCCAAGCTTCCCAAATCCCAACATCAATCCATTGAAATCCACCATTTCTCCTGTGGATTCCCATGCCTCCATCCTAACGGTCCTAATCGGTCCTAGGTCGCTTCTCCCTCGGGGCGACCCCGCCAGCCTCCTGGTCTTGGGTCGTCCCCAACAAGGGCCGGGCCAGGCCGGTAGTGCTCTGCATTCCTCCTTCGTGCGCGGCCGGCGCGTGGTGTCTGGAGGCCTGCCCTTGACCTGCAACCTGCGACGCCTACGGGAGGTGGAGCTCCGGCCGGAGGGAGGGGACCTGGAGACTCCGGGGGAAAGTGGCAAGAAGTGGCAAAAACTCAAAGATTTTGGGATTTCACTTGATATGGTTGAAACAATGGAGTATGCCGCCTATGTTTTTATGCCGGGTAACCGTGCTTTCCGAGAAACCCAAATGGATTTAAAGGATTGGACCTTGAGAAGTGTTTGTGTCTGATGAGTTTGAGGTTATTTTCCCACCTGGGCTGAAAAAGTTATGTCAAGTTCCCTCAATCCTTAATTTTTGTGGGGGCGCTCATCGTGCCCTTGCCATTTATTTTTAAAACTATGAACCAATCATCATCATACCCGAGTTTTTTCAGCTTTATTTCCATGAAAAAAACTGGATCTCCATGGTTTCACCTTCCATTTTCCCACACTTTCCGAGCTTTTGGCACTGGCCTCAGACCCTCTGGCGTCACAGCGAGCCGCGCGCCACCGGCGCGGCGGCCATGGACCCATTGGCGCGGCCCAGCGCGGAGATGCAGCGGGCGGCGGAGGTGGAGTACCGCGGAGCAGTAGGCGCTGCCATGGCGCTGCCCTGGGATCCCTGGGAAGCAACGATTGGGATAGAACTCACCAAGCTGGGTAAGGTACGTCATAGTTTTGTTAATAAAAAAAATGGGATATGACAAATTATGAAAGTCACCAAGAACCATAAAAATTGGGGAATTTAAATGAATAGTCTAAGCAACAACCATTGGGATAGAACTAACCAACATTGGGATTGGGCAACATGATAACGAATCAATGGGTAAAACCATTCCAACCATTGGAATACAACTAACCAGCAACCATTAGGGAATTCATAGGTAGATAGATCCACATTTGTTGCAATGTGGGATTCACCCCTGCTGCCACAAAGGACTCTCATGACTGGGGAAGCATAGCAGCCATAAAAAAGCTGATGACTTGGGGATGGTTTTTGAAATTGGGGCTAATGCTGGCTACATTAACGCATATTAATCCTTTCCCCCATTTTCCCCCTATTAAAGGTCCCATAAGGATCCATAAGGTCCCCTAAAAACCTACGCCTAGGGCCTTGATTCGGGGGGAATTTCGTGCTGCGGTGCCAGGATTGGATGGCAGCGAAGGACCGCGCCAGCTCTCGTCCCACTTGGCGCTCAGGACCATCTGGGACTATGCGGGGGCCTGTGCCCTGGCTTTCACCTGATGCTGTTTTCCCAGAAACAAAATCCATAGAACATAACCATGATCTGGCCAGAACTGCTGGATACATGTGGATACTGGGGGTCATGGGGCAACCCGCCAGAAGAGGTTCCACTTGACAATGATTTATATGATTTATATAATAATAATAATAATAAAGGATTTGCACTTGATCATGGGTCAAAAGCATTTGATTTGGGATAGGGTTTGGGATGTGAAGAGTAGAAAGTCAAATCTATACAATATATATATATGATGCACCTATGGTTCTATTTCTTCATGAGAACCCATTGACATCGAATTTAGATATTGTAGATATATCAAGATATACCGATATATATATATATATCAATATAGATCCATATATCCGTGATATATGTATATACCTGTATGCACCAATGTATAAATAGATAAACGCATAAATATGTGTGTGTATATATATGTATATGGCCATGCACGCCCATGTCCATGTATCTATACAAATATACACCCATAATGTATACTAAACATATATGTACCCCCAAATTTGGCCACAGCGCCGCTTCTGGGCCACCACTTTCGCGGGCCACTGCTGCAGTGGCTGCACAATGATGGCCAAGCTCCAGCGCTGCTTGGCAGAATTGGCAAACTGTGGGCAAGGTATTCCGTTTCTACCCAGAACCATATTGTTTTGGGCAGAATTGACCTGCCTTTTTCATTTCACGCCCCAACAAAAACATAATCTTGTCAATAAGATCGCCCAACACCTTTTGACGAACTGAAAGAGCAAAGATACCGACACAACAGTGAGTAGCGCACTCACCAATTAAATGAGAGCCATGACAAGGATACCACCAGCAACCGCCACTAGAACAAGGAGAACAACAACAACAACCAAAGAACACAAGAATATATCACTGAAATATTTGGCTCAGAAACTTGTAATTAAAGAAAAAAATGTTGTTTTTTTCCGGGCGTTGATTTGGGGTCAGAAAATGTAAAACTTCTGAAGGTTTCAGCCGAAACCTTCGGAAATCTATGATGTTTTGGAACCGAAATCAATGCCTCGAAAAAGAACACATTTTTTGGTGCAGAAGTCAAAGTGTGAAATCCAACAAGAAAGATCTGAAGGTTTCTATTGAAATCTTTTGAAATTCCCAGGGATGATGCATGGCCAGCAGAAGTGCCATTGGAGATTCAATATCCAGACTTCTGCTGGACATCTAAGAAACCTAGGAATTTAGAACATGTTCAGCTGAAACAGGCAGAAGTCTTCACAGCAAAATCAAGCATTGACTTCTGCAGGGAGGCATGTTTCAGATGCTTTTAAATCAAATCCTATCGTGTTGTGATTGCCATGGATCACGGTGAGTTGTCAGACCTTGACTGGAATCCTCGCATATACTTCACAAACAAGTTGTCGAGTCTACATTGTAAATATTGTTTTTTTTGAGTGACCGGAAGTTCTATGATGTATATCTTCGATTCCATGATATTTTGTGATCAAATCCCATGAAACAGTGTTAGTGGCGATTGCTGGTGGTATCCTTGTCAGGGCTCTCATTTAATTGGTGAGTGCGCTACTCACTGTTGTGTCGGTATCAGTTCGTCAAAAGGTGTTGGGCGATCTTATTGACAAGATTATGTTTTTGTTGGGGCGTGAAATGAAAAAGGCAGGTCAATTCTGCCCAAAACAATATGGTTCTGGGTAGAAACGGAATACCTGGCCCACAGTTTGCCAATTCTGCCAAGCAGCGCTGGAGCTTGGCCATCATTGTGCAGCCACTGCAGCAGTGGCCCGCGAAAGTGGTGGCCCAGAAGCGGCGCTGTGGCCAAATTTGGGGGTACATATATGTTTAGTATACATTATGGGTGTATATTTGTATAGATACATGGACATGGGCGTGCATGGCCATATACATATATATATACACACATATTTATGCGTTTATCTATTTATACATTGGTGCATACAGGTATATACATATATCACGGATATATGGATCTATATTGATATATATATATATATCGGTATATCTTGATATATCTACAATATCTAAATTCGATGTCAATGGGTTCTCATGAAGAAATAGAACCATAGGTGCATCATATATATATATTGTATATGGAGATATAGATTTGACTTTCTACTCTTCACATCCCAAACCCTATCCCAAATCAAATGCTTTTGACCCATGATCAAGTGCAAATCCATAATAATAATAATAACAACAATAATAATAATTATAATAATAATCATAATAATATATAATATGTTTTCATTTGCCTATGAGACTCTGGAAAAGCAAACCTGGATATATTGAGTAAAGACTGTTCAAAGCCATGGGTGCAAGGATAATTGCACTCAGTACGAGATGATCCCTTTCCAGTTTCCACTTCACCAGAATATCTAAGAATTTTGATCGGAGAGTTTCTGAGCATGACAAGTTGGTTTCTTCGGGATAGCATCCTTGATGATCCCTTGCCGTTTGATGTTTTCAACAGCGTTCACATTGGCATGATATGGGATGATGATCTATAGGCCCGAGTGGCTCAACTACCAGCTTGGCTCCAACAAGTTAATGAGGTGTACCCAACAACAAAGCATTTCCAGTAACACGGTGATCTAAAACGACCCCCCAAATGGCTAGTTACTGGGGATGGTTTGTTGTTGGGTTTGCCACCTTCCCCAGGATCATTTCAGTGGCCCTTCCAGCCATTTTCAGCGCGGCCCAGGTTTACCCAGCCGTGCGTAGGGGTCGCAAAGTCCTTCCCCAGCCACGGCATGTTGCGATGAAAAAACATGGCTCCGCGATGCTTGCGTTCGAACTGCAATGAAAGGATCCTTGGCACGTTTGCATTGGTAAATGGAATTGATTTGGTGTGTTGTGATATGTTGTGACAGTGCTGTAGTATTTTCTCGATGGTGCATGACATGTAGCATCAGCCAATGTAGGTCGACTCCTTCTGGAGATGAATTGTGCAGCTTTTTTGGGTCCCCGAAACAGCGATACCCGTAGCGATACCTTAGCGATACCCATTTGTTGAAAAAAAAACTGACCCCAGATCCTTTCATCCTTTCCTTTCCTCTTTCTTTGCTCTTCCGGAATGAGAGGCGTTGCATCCTTTTTCTTTCCTCTTCCTCTCTTCTTCCTTTCATTCCGCAGATTTGCTCCTCTTCTTCACACCTGCAAAATCATTGTTAGCAGTCGGCCCCCCAAAAAAAGCAATACCGTACCATGAATTCTAAGAATTCAGAAAACGTAAAGTTTTGATGGCGGCTCATATACGTATCATATCTATATTATGTAATAATTCTCCATTTGCCAGTTCATTTGAACTGACAGAGACCCCCCTCGCTTCCGAGAAAACTGCGCAGTTGGCGCCGGGACGTTTGCAGGCTCTATCTATTCAGAACCATATCCGGTGTTAGGGCACCCAGCTGAAGAGTGACCAGTTCACAAGCTACAAGCTATGTCTGGAAAGATTGCCACATTACATCCTCAGTTGCACTATAGTTTAATTTTAAAGATTACCATCCAGACTGGTCATTGGGGATGGATCATGGTTTTGGGGCCGAGTGGGTACCAGACTTGGCTGTGAGGTGAAGTTGATGAGTTACAGCCTCGTTGCTGGCTTGTTTTCAGGAATTGATATCCGATATATCCGATTCAGTCAAACCGCAAGAATCCAACCCCTAAGTCAAAGCAATTCCCGATTGCCAGCACCAACTTTTCAGACTTTTGAGTATGTTTAAAACACGACTGCTATCATTTGCTTACCCATCAAATATCATAAATTCTTATTATATTGATGTATGATGATGGTGATTATGGTGATGATGATGATGATGGTGATGATGATGATGATATGACATGTTAGATTGAACACATTCATCATTTCAAACCGCCTAGGTCCGTGGCACCGTTGACTGCCCGCGGGTCTTTTGGAGGCTGCTCGCCCTAGGGTGTGGCGCCCCAGCGGGTTGGGCAGGTGGTTGCAGCCCCTGTTGGTCTCCAAGCCATTTTCGATACCTCAAAAATCAAGAAGCCTTGAAGGTTGGAGAGGGGTTCCAAATCTTGTGATGGTTTTTCGCTTGAATTCAGATGCATTGGCGGTGTAGCGTAAGCCATGTTCGCTTTTCACATGTAGTTTGATTCCGGCTCACTTGTGACACTTGCTCCCTGATCAGATTCTGCTGTATGAGTCCTTTATGATGATCCGAATGCATATGATATATCACTTCACGTCAATTCACCATTTGTTTTTTTTTTTGCGGTTGCTCACAACATCTCACAACTATTTTCTTGAACACTTGGCGGTACTAGAACCTGTGGCCCCCCTTTTGCGAAGAAGGCAGTCTTTGTCGATGATCAAGATCCCTGGGATTTATTCACGGCTGTTGCTGGATGTGTTTCTGCATAAGTTTGGCTCAAGTTGTACTTAACTGGGTGTAACTATTAACTACGCTCACTAATGGAGCGTTACTCACCAACAGAAGGGATTTTAACCTGCAATCATGGAATCAAATGCTGACATAATTTTAGAAATGTATGCAGAAAGAACAGAACTTACACTCAGAAATGATTTGAACGTTATAATGACACATAATGGTCATAATATGACATATATAATATATAATAACATCAATGTTTTCCTTGATGTAAAACTGCAAAACCATGCCATCCATTTTTGCGAGGCATCCAACACTGACAGAGCGAAGATGCCTGGTCCGCCTGCAGCGTGTGTTTGCAGGTGCCGCATGATGCCGTTGTTTCATGAAAAATGATGAGAATTTAAGTGAATTTAAGGTATTGCATGTGGAAATGACGGTTTATGAATGTTTATTGATATATAATTCTTTATTGTGATGATTCTTTATTGTAATTGCCATGGGATCCATGGGTAATGATGGTAGCTAGTTTGTAGTTCGGAGGGATCAGTTTCGAGCTATGGTTGCTTGAATGACGTGGCTTGACCATCCAAACACTGAGACTTAATCCACCAAGACTTGAGAGTTAGCCA